GACTCTCCAAGAATTTTTTATGGATACAGGACATTTCAGGCCCTGTCCGTTGTGGACCTGCCCGAAACCACGAATCCACCAGTAGCGAGTGGATAAAACCACTGAACACTGATAGTTGGTCATGGTTTCGCGCCTGGCCAACGGGCTTGTTACGTAGATTTTTCTGATTTTTTTCATGTTAATAACATCAAAAAAGAGACAGTTTTCTTTAGAAAGTCCTCCCGGTAGACATCCTCTTTCGGCAAATCGCCCATGTGTCGTATTTTGTATACAAATAAAACGAAACGAAAACAAACAAAACGAACCTATGGGCATGGAAGAAAGGTGCTCTTAGTATTTCCACGACAGAAAGAGCTACAAAACAATTTTTTTTTATCTGAAAGTGCTTCTGCCTGCTGGCATTCTTCTTTCTGTCTGGAATTGTGTATATAGAGTGATGATAAAGATTAGACGTTCAGAGCTCTCTTCAGAGTGAACTATTGGGTAATCCCGAATATGTCGTTTCGATTTTCTAGAAAAATTTTGCTTCGAAATTTACGAGTACATTTTCTAATCAATTTCGGACGTTAAGAAACAAAATATAATAATTTTATTTTAATTACAGGTGTAATTACAAATGTGGAATTGGCGATTACACCAAAGATATGGCTCTATGTGTTTTCCATCTCATTAAAATTGCATCTTCTACACAACACCCTTGACGTGGAGTTGTCGCAAATGTGAAATCCTGTTTTAAGACAGTTAGGTTGGGAACATTGCCTTGATAAACGAGGTTCTTTAGATAGCCCCATAACGAAAGTCACAGGATTGAACCCCCAGTGAAATCGTGGCTGTCATAACTCTGAAAATGATCGGCTAATCACTCTTACCCGCGAAAAATTGTTACAGTAAAGCTTGCAGGTTTAAGCCAATATGCGGTTTACATCCCGCAAAGTGACCGCCATGACGGTTCACCTGTGGAAGAATTGAGGAACGACTTCAAGACCTCTTTATACACGAAGTTTGTTAGAAATCCTATGTAATACGCATACGTTTTCTAACAAACTACGCTAAATTTCGCCCTAGTGACTGATTTTTGAAGTAAAATTTTCTCTCAAAAATCGAAACAGCATACTCAGGATGGGACATCATGTGTACCGAATTTAGTCGATAGAGTTATTCATTTGTTCATTCTTACAGAGAGCTCTGAACCTATTTAACAATACTGTACGCAAATAGCTTAATATATTCAGTATCAAAATGATAAAATATAAGTCTTTTGCCATACTCTACAATGTAGTTGTTCAAAAATAAATAAATAAAATACAGTTCAGTGTTTACTTTGTTTCATAAAGATTCATTCTTGGAAGTAAAGTTTTAATTAATTGAAATTATAATAAAGAGAGATCAATCCATTTTATGATTTACATAAGAACAACGTTTAAACACAGAGATTAATAGTTTAAAATATGCAATTTTATAATCTGTACGGGAGCTGTTTCTTTATGATTGATTGCAACAATTCTAAGCAGACTTACGCAACGAAAATTGCGGAAGTATAATAGAAGCTTACAAGATCGACTTTAACACGGTTAATCGATTTAAAATAAACATACAAAAGCTTATTTTTAAGACAATATAACACGTGCATTTTATTCCTTTTTATATCATTTTAAAATTATTTTTCTAATTAGAGAAATGGCAGTAATAAAATTACCATAAAATAACGTCGTGCTTAGAACTTAAGAGTTGTAAACTCAAATTATAATTTTAATTACACACATGATTAATAAATATATACATTTATTAACTAATTATGAATATTTAAAGGTAATTAATTATATTATTTAGATAATTAGGAGATATAAGTAAAGGTTTTGTACTAAGGATTTGAGAATCCTAAATAAGGATAACGTAAGTGTTTAAATTTCCGACTGTTTAAGATTATAAAAATGTGGTAATATTTACGAAAAAGATAAATAAGGTACGGCTTTAGGGTTTCACAGCTAAATAAGCTACAGCTGAGGGTATTTGTATATTGCCCATTATTGTTTGGCGAAGGAGGAAGGGCCTCTCGTATGTTGTAGCGCAGGGTCACAACAAATCTAAATCCGGCTGTGATTAAAATTTGACACGTTAAAATATTGATAGGGCTTAGAATTTATGGTATACTTCGAATTATTTATTAAAAAAAGACCCCTCTAAGAATTTTACATTTTGGACTCGGAACACCGCAAAATGCCAAGAAAACTGGGTGCACGATTTTGTTTATTCTCTTTGAAACTTAATTAATAACTCCTGTGCTTTTTATCGAAAATTTCTGAAATTTTGCAGGGAAGTTTGTGTATTAGAGGAATCGATGCTATTAAATTTTGATAGTTTAAGGTCGACGGGGTGGGAAGATAAAGGGCATCGTGTGTCATATCTCGAGTAGGGTCGTGCTTAATAATGATTTCACTCGTTATTATAATTTACAATTGTTTATAAAACCCGTCCCTAACCTCAAAAGTAAACTGTTTGCCATTTTATAATAATTTAAAAAATACGTTAATGTATTAATTTAAAAATGATTTAACAGATGGCGCTACACACGCAGTTTTAAACGTTGCGGGGAAAGTTACGCAACTCGTTGCTGGATATTTATGTAATAGGTCTTACATTTACTTTATTTTCTGCAATACTTATTACTATATTTTTATATATTTTTTTCACTTTAACATGGTTTTTATCAATATTTTTTATTGTAATGGTTTATAAAAGAGCAAGTCATTTTTTTTCTGAATTATTTAAAATATTTATTAAAGTAAAATTGAGCATTTGTATTTTATTTTTTCACTTCCAAATACACGAATAAAAAATAATCGACACTTGTTTTTCCTGGAAATTAAATGTAAATCAAATGTTCCTATTATTATCTGTTGAATTCCTATCAATCAATGGATGCGATTGTAATTTTCCTTTTTTTCTAAATCTACATATATCTAGATTTGAGAAGAATACGAAAAAATTACCTTATTTTCTTCTCAAATAAACTTATTATATGCATATGTATTGTAAAACAGCTCGAAATATATCTATATCAATTAATAAGTTTAGACAATAAAATTGATATAAAAATCATTTCTTAAGATGTAACCCAAACTATAAAATAATTCCAATAAATTATATTATTTTTTAAGCTTACAGATAACATAATCTTACTCTATTGATTGCGACTTTGAAGCTTCGGTGATGCGCTATCCTTAAGGTGTTTTGTATTATTGGCTATAAAACATTTATCCTTTATTACAAATAAATTTTTTTCTTTCACATCTTCTAAGTTGAAAATCATCTCATCTTATAAAATGCGGATAACTAAAATAAAAATATACAGCATGTACGACCGGCCTCGGACTGAGGCCCCGTGTTCGGAGGGGGCCCCCGCACTTTCACATTATTTTTTTTAATTGTTAATCGCTCTCCTGATGGATCCTTTAGTGATAAGCATAAATTTTCCCAAAGAGAACTAATCACACGAGGAAATGTGCTATTATTTCCCTGTATGATTAGTTCTCTTTCAGCAAAATTAATGCTCATCACTAAAGAAAAAATATTATTTATTTTGCAAATATTTGGGGCCCCACTAATAACTTTTTCCTGGGGCCCCGCAAAACCTTCCAGCACGTCCCGAATATACTCTTTTCATCACGTGTATGTAATATAAGCCATTTGTGTGCCCATCAATAAGCCATGAATATCATAAAATTTACTGTATTAAATTTCACGTTATGATATACACCAACACTTCATTAATTACACTGGAAAACTTAAACTTTTATAGCAATTTTATAATATAAAAAGTTTTCTGGACATATTTTGAATCTCACTATAAAATTATTTTAACGAATTAAGTTTATTAGGTCGAGTCGAAGGATGATGATGATAAATCATATAATAATCTGATTCACATCAATCGATGATATTACATTAATTTAATAAACAGTTCGATTAATTAATTATTTGAATAAATGTTTAGATATGGTTAAAGATATTTTAATCTAAGTTTTGAAAAAGAGATAATTTATTACATTACTCTTTTTTTTATACATTAAGGGCTTCAAAAGATAAGTCATCCAGACTTCGATCTCTTAAGAGGTACAGTACAGTTTGTGCCTATACATTTAACTTTACTCACCAATTATTTTCGTGTCTTTAATATACAAATTACATTCGATCAGAGCAAGAATTATATCAGGAAAGAACAAAATCGAAATCTTGGACCACCACACCAAGTAATTGTCCGAAATATCTTTTATCTAGGAAGGACTATCTAATCAGAGAAGCTTAAGAGAGTCTTGAGAATAGATGCTATGATTTATTCCTTCTCTAGCCTGATCCTTGTGTCTTTAAAAGTTTATTTTATTTATTTATTCTTCGAAGTTTTCATTTCTTCTCTGCTTTTAAAACTCCCTTACATAGAAAGAATTCTAAAATAAATAAATATATATGTGATATCAAACTCCTAAATTCACTAGAGATAGTTCTCTGCATCCAGAAATTATTTTCTAAGAAGAAACTTATAAGTTAGAATAGAGAGAGAGGAAAAAAGTACAGGAATTTGTAAATTTTAACAGTATTATAATTAAATATTATAGAAGGTAATCAGTTATATCAGATGATCATGATAAATTCTCACAATATACTGTACTATACATATTAATTCTTATTAAACTTTTTATAAATTGTTCTCATATATTGTAAATAGCCTAATATATTATTCTATCTCATTACAATTATTAATATAAATAAATATTGACAATTATGTAATTATCATTATAATTATCATCATTATTAATTAATAAATTTAGATTATAAAAGCTTAAGAAAAAAAAAATTCATACATTTTTTTTTTGTATATTAAAATCAATATAAATTTTTTATATTTAAAATACTTGCATTATAATTAATGTTTTAAGAATAATTTAACTTTAAATTATTATTTTAATATAAAGTATATAGCAAAAGATTTTTATGTATTTTAGATAATAAATATGGCAACCACTTATTGGTTTTTAAGTAATTGTATCCTACTGTGGAGTTAGAATTAGTCCTCTTTCTTTCAAGTGGAAAGTGAGTATTATAATAATTATTATCCATTTTTAATATTTAAAATTACATTTAAAAAAATAATTGTTTTTTCTTTGTAATAGCAAATAAAGATGAGTGTGGCTTCTCTCAAGACATTGTCTATTCAAGTTGTCAGGTTTGTACATAAAATTACTCTTACAGATAAATCTAGTAACAGTTAAATACAGAAAAAGATTATTTATATTTACACATCTCTAAATATTTATTACTAACTCTTAAGTATTTTATTACTAATTTGTTTGGTTAACGAGTGACACATAACTTCTCTGTCCATCCCCGAATACGTCCATCTGAAGATCCAGAATTTATGAAAATATTTTCATTACAAATTATATATAACACAGCATACCAACAATATATATATATTATATACAGTGTGCAACAGAACCAGTTTCTTTAAGTCCAGGCAAGTTAAAAGAGAATTATTGGTTGCTAAATACCCTGTTGATAGTATTCAAACTGGTTTAATGTTTAAGATTAGATTATAATTTAATTATTAATAACTATTATTATAATAAGACGTCAACATCCAGGTCTACGAGAGGAAAAAAATTGTAGCCGCGAGTCTCGAACTTTTACACGTGTTCCAGGCATTATTTATATAATTTAAAGTGAATAAAAAGAAGAAAATACGATATACGACAGCTTTATATTTAGTATTTTACATACAAAAACACACCGATGGCCATTATATAATTGTTATATTAATATATACATATATAGTAATCAACACGCAAAATAAAAAATATAAATATTCTGTTAATTTGAACGATTTAAATCGAGGGAGAAAAATTGAAAAAAATAAATAAATAAATAAAAGGGATTAAGTGAAAACGACGGATCGTCCATTTTTTTATTTTTTATTTTTTAATCGCGTGAAAGTTTCTCTCCACAATTAAAATTATGCGGTAAAATCGCCTTCCCCACCGCAAAAGAAGAGATGAAGGAATGGAGTTAAAATTAAGAAGGGGGAAGAGTCGATAAACTCATTAAGTTAGCCGCAGCTTTAGCGGTTAGTTAAACGATGGGAAAGAAGGAAAACAATGGGGATAAGTAGGAGAAATTTCGAACTGCCGCCAAAGCCGCCGCTTCACTGGCGAGCCCAGTGGCGGCGTTCAAAACCAAGTCACGTGACCCACGCCGTCCTTCAAACTCCGGCGAGTGGTGGAGATAGGCGAACCCTGTTTTTCCGACATAATTCGTACTGATGTCCGAAAAAAAATCTGAACCGAAACGCGAAGGGACAATGCAGGCAACTGTAAAGGTAGGAACGGCGTATATACCGATGTTTGTCCGATCGAGTTAAGACGGATATTGGCCGTTAATCGAGTGGAAGTAGGGCCATTACCCCCATAGTTACCTTTAGCGCTTCTGCGCACCTTCTCTATCCACAAAAGGTTTCGACGTTTTTTAACGTCTAACCTTCTCTAATATCCCTTTCCTTTATCTTTATTTATATAATCGTTTATTTATTAACGGAGCGATCTTTATTTTTTTTTCCCCACCGCCGTTTGCCGGCCGCGCATCGCCCGCCGTTAGGTAACCGTTACGGTTAGTTTGCAAGTCGAATTTTCCATTGGAGATGACATTATGGCGGGCGCCGAGAGCGCCAACTTCACGATTCAAAATGGTGGCTCCGCCTGGCGGAATGAAAACTCATTATAAACCATTGATTTTCCAAAAATATTCGAAAATACTCATCTACCTCCCCTTCCGCTGTAATCGAATCGATGTTTATTGTTTAGAAATTGACGATTTGTTAGTCTTTCGCGGATTTTCTATCAATTATCCACGGCGTGGTTAACGTGTTTATTATGCTGTGTTATATGACAGTTACCGATGGCGAATTTTAACTGTTATATACTGAATGACATTCCTTAAATACGTATCTGTATCCCCGTAAAAAAAGATTTCTATCTTTTTAAAGACGTTCGGTGTGTTAACTATGCTGTATGTGTCTGCCATAAGTGCATATCACTTACAGTTGATGCCATCTCTCACACAAGTCATAATAAAATATTTGTTAATTATCCTTTTTCCGCATGTTCTTACTGAGACGACGAGATGAAAAATTCAATTAGCTCGCCTAATTCCGATAGGAAGTAAAATTATCTGCAAATATCCCTTGTTTTGCAACTAATAATTAAATATTGCCGTCGTCGTAATCGTTGATAAATAAGGTTATACGTTTCGGTTTCTGAATTAGTTATTTTCGACAGTTAAAGAAGCGTTATGTTGATATTTTTAAGGGTTAGAATTAAGAAAAATGCCTTTTTTTATTGATAACTATATTGATTTATTGCTGTGTATGTGTAAACAAAATCAAAATATAATTTTTCTCTTTTAATAATACGTATCTTGAATATTATATGACTGAAAAATCCATCTATGACCAAAGTCGGCAGACGTCCCGGCATTTACGGTTAAGTGCGTGGCATTTTGATTTAAAAGTGATAATTTTAAATGCGTATTCGTGAAATGATAATTTGTTTAATAGATAAATAATATCCAAAATATCGACTTTAATTAATACGTAAATTTGAATATTCTGTATGCGGTTAATATTGGGATAGAAAAACTTAATTGTTTCCAATAGAGTTAGATTTAAAAAGAGAATAAGTGGACGTGGTTATCTGAAAAGCTACCGACTCTTGACGTACTTAAACCGAGTAAATCACGATTAAAGTTTTTGATTAAAAAAAATATATATAGACTGTGGGTTAGTTGGTAAGCGTTACATTAAAAAATACATTAATAGTAGTTGTGTGGTTTAGTAGTTTCTGTAAGATTGTTCAATCTTCACAATACTGAATTTTTACACAACTTCAGTTCATTTTTGTACATTTGAGGGTTAGTAGCTTTTTGCGTGACAGGGCCCAAATGTGTGTAATGTACACAAATCCATCTTATTGTCAAAGAATGAAGTTCAAATAAAAGTTCTTTTCATCTTATTTATCCATAAAGTTGATCATTTAAAGCAGGGGTGTCCAGCCCGTGGGCCGCATGCGGCCCAAGGCACGTTCCAATGCGGCCCAATAAATGTGTAAACAACACCGACAAATGTTTTAATTTTTTTTATTATTATTTATTCATTTCAATGGCATAAAGTCAGAAAAAAGTTTCACAAAGCCGTAAACCTTTATTCATATTTTATTTTTGAGTGGAAAGAAAATATTTTCAAATACTTGGAGATGTGTGAATGCGGAAAGATTACTAAATAAAGCTGGAGTTGTGACTCAAAGGATTATAGACCCAAATTTGGGAAAAGGAGGGAAAGATGAGAAAGGACAAAAGATGTAGTAGTGAGAAACGTTAAATAGATCTTCTGTTAAGCAAATATGGACCCGTAATTTTTCAACCTTTTTCACTTCTTTATCTTTTGTCCTTTGCCTCTTTTTCCCCGCACTTGGGTCTATAATCCTTTGATTCACAACTCCAGCTTTATTTAGTATTTCTTCCAACGTTGCAAGATTTGGCTACATTGCGCCAAATGTGGCTACTTTTTTTTGTTTGACGTAAAAAATATCATTTGGCGCTTTGGCTACTTTTTGGGCTACATATTATTTATAAATATATTAGTTGAATAAAAATGCACTTTAAAATGGTGTTTCGTCGCTTTTTATTAATTAGAGACCCAAATAAAACAAATATTTGTGTTTTTCAAATAAATTTTCGTTTGTCTCTTTTATAATAAATGAATTTATCTATTTCTAAGTAAAAATTGAAAGTGTCTGTAGAAGTAATTTTTTAACATATCCTTTTTTCTTGATAAAGTTTTAATGCTTATTATTATAATCTAGATATGTTAATTTTTAAATATACTCGTATATTGGGCCACAAGTATATATAATATATACTTGTGGCCCAAAACTCCTTGACTTCTTCCAATGCGGCCCAGAGAAACAAAAAGGTTGGACACCCCTGATTTAAAGGGTATTTGTATTGACATTATAAAAATAAGTGGTATGTAAAGCACGTATACATTTTTACATAAATATAAGCATACAAGTAAACAAAATGAAATACAAACATACAAGTAATAAAATGACAAATCGTGGTATTTGTCTTTGGGTAATGCACCAATTAAATAAGATGCATTCAACAAATGTAATGTGTTTAATGCTAACTTTAGATATGCAGTTAGCTAGTTGCATTGTTGCTATTTGCAAATTTTATGATTTAATAAATTTTAGCTTGGTTAGTTAATTTAGAAAAATGTAGAAAAAATATGAAATGGGACAGAATTGAATCTATAATGCTTGTAAAAAAAAGGCATGTTTGTTTTAAGTCACCTGATGCTTATTCCATTTATCTAAATATGATATTTCTGAAGATCCAAATATATTTAACTGCCAAAATATTTGTTTAGTTTGAGAGCAAATGCTGTATCATAATTGGGACATATTAATAACTTAAAAAAAATAAAAAATACTTCATTCACTTTTATAACCACTTAGAAGAGGTTTTTGGATGAATAAAATGAAATGCTATGTCCTTTGAATCTGACATTCACCAGAGTTCAAGAATTACTCAGACGACTATTTTATTCCCAGATATTTTATTTAAATGCAAAAATATCTTGGATCTTCTGAGTAATTCGAACTCGGGTGAATGTTGGATTCAAAAGACATAACATTTCATTTTATTCGTCCAAAAACTCCCTTCTAAGTGGTTATAAAAGTGAATGATTATATCTGGCAAATATGGATAATTTTAGCTTAGTATTAAAGAAACTTCATGAATTTATTTTATCTTTACTAACAGGGATTCAGCATCCGAATTAGAGATTAGCTAAATTTTTCCATCTCTAAAGCAGAAATAAATAAATTTATCTTTTAGAAAATGGGGAATTTCAAAAGCTTAAGAATTTCAACTCTTCTAAAAAAAAAATGAAGTGAATATATTTTGATTACAATAAATAAAAACAATTGATTAAGAAAAGGATGATGATATACTGAACTGAATATAAAACCATAATTTCAAAAATAATTGAAATTATGCTATATTAAAATTTAGACAGTAAAAAATTAACAAAATTGTTTATGCTGTGTACCGTGGATTTGCCATCTCTGTCTTAGAGCATATTATATCATATGAACATCTGCTCTTAAAGTAG